ACTATAATAAAGTAGCTAAATAGCGACAGTATTAGTATACATATTGTAAAGATGACCGGTAGCCTTCCGGGTAAATGTGAAGCTTGTCGTAGATGGGTAACAAACGGCATTATTTGTATTAACTGTGACTGCTGCTTCCACATAAACTGTGCAAGCACCAGTCCAAATTTAGCTGACAGAAACATGCCATGGGTTTGTATGTCATGTAAGTACCATAGGCATGCTAAGCATCAGGAGGAGAGAATCAGGCACCTTGAACTTGAATTAAAGATAGCTAAAGAAGAAATTAGAATACTGAAAGCTGGGAATGTGAATAGTAATAACGGCAGAGAGCAGAAAAATTCAGAAAGCTGGAACAAACCAAAAAATTCAAAATCTAGGTATCACAGGTTCTCTGCTGGTGATGCTGAAGTTAAACTGAGCAACAGATTCAGTGTACTGGAATCAGACATTCTGTATGTTAGGCAGCAAAGACAGGTTCTCTCTGAGCATGAGGGCAAGGAAGTAAGGCCAGTAGCAAAAGAAAGATACTACTGCTGGGTAGCAGTCATGGTAGGGAAATTGGACCCATGCTGAAGGAAAGACTAGGCGAAAGATTTGATATTGTCAGTATCTTTAAACCAAATGCTCCTCTGGCAAATGTTGTTGAAGACCTAGGGAAGCTTGGTAAAGACCTTACCAAGCAAGATCATATTATTATAGTGGGAGGGCCAGGAAACAGCCTGGATAGAAATTTAAATTATTCTATAGAAAAGGACATCAGCCATATTGCAGAGAGGACAGCCAATACAAATGTGGGGTTTGTCAGCCTCTTCAGGAGACACGACAAGCCGTGGATGAACGATAAGGTTAGGAGAATGAATCTTCGGCTTGAACGGGCACTGATGGGATCTGGTATGGCTCACATTGGTATTATTAACTCAGATTATTTTGTAAGAGGTGATTTCACGACACATGGTCTCCACCTTAATTCTCAAGGCAAGAGGAAGCTGACACATTTGATTGCTGAAAGGATGATGGCCTTATGCCTAAAATAAGCAGTATTCCTGTTATAACCTGTGCTAGAGCCTCGCCTTTTTTAGATTAAAATCAAAACCATATAGGTGTTTAAAAAATATTGATTGCAATTACCAAGATTCAGAAATTCAAAGCAAAAATGTAAACTCAAGAAACTTACCATTAAATATATTTCATCAAAATATCAGGGGACTAGAAAACAAAAACGATGAATTAATACACTCTTTTGAATTAGATGGCATTAATCCCCATATATTATGTTTAAGCGAACATCACATGGTGGCACAGGATTTACTACACCTCACATTAGAGGGTTATTTATTAGGTTCTAGTTTTTGCAGACGAAACCGACAGAGAGGAGGCGTGTCTATTTTTGTTAAGAAAGATAAATGCTTCAATAGAATTGATATTTCACATTACTGCACAGAACAAGTTTTGGAAATTTGTGCTGTTCAATTAGAAACTAAAACATCTAACTTAATTATATTATGCCTGTATAGATCTCCAACAGGGGATTTTAACCAGTTTAAAGGGATTAGATGCTATTTTAAAGTATTTATACAATCCAAAGTCTGAATTCTTGATTTGTGGTGACATAAATATAGACTATCTCAGTGACAGCAATCGAAAGAAACAAATGAACTCATTATTAACAACATATAATCTGATACATACTGTAAACTTTGCAACAAGAATTCAAAATGACTCTAGTACATCAATCGATAATATTTTTGTTGATGTTACAAGATTTAGCTCCTCCTCCACATCTCCCATTATAAATGGCCTATCTGATCATGATGCACAGTTTCTTGTGATGGACAATTTGGCTGTAGCAGGTAACTTTATACATCAGAAGCAGAGAATAAGAAAAATAAACAGTGAATCAATAAAGCAATTTCAGCTCCTTCTAAAAAGAGAATCATGGGAAGGTGTTTACAAGGAAAATGACACCAATAATAAGTACAACTTGTTTCTGTCTTCTTTTCTAAATATTTTTGAAGCCAGCTTCCCAATTAAATATAAAAATGTGCGTGAACTAAAGAATGACTGGATCACACAAGGGATAAAAATATCTTGCGAACATAAGAGGACTTTATATGTTAACAGTAGGAATAGTAATAATCCAAATATAAGAGCATTTTATGTTAAGTACTGTAAAATTCTTAGAAATGTTATAAAAGAAGCTAAAAGGCAGCATTATAGCAGACTCATAGCAATGTCAGAAAATAATATAAAAATGACATGGAACATAATTAAAAGGGAGAATGGAAAATGCATTTATCTGAAGAGATGCTGTCTCTTCTGGCTAAATCTGAGAAAGCAAAGGACCTAGAGACAGTTGCCAACGACATCAATAAATTTTTCCTAACAACTGCTGAGAGCTTAATTTACATCAGATGGGAAATGAAAATGCTTTGTCAGTTTTGAAAGTTGCGTTTCCTACAAATTTTCCTAGTATCAAAATCATCCCAACAAATGAAGCTGAGATAAAGAATATAATACGCATTATGAAACCAAAAAACTCATCAGGTTATGATGAAGTAACAAGTAAAGTTCTGAAAGCTTGTTCTGATTTAATTAGTTGCCCTTTAGCTCACATTTGTAATCACTCATTATACACAGGCGTTTTCCCAGACCGCCAAAAAACTTCAATAGTAAAGCCACTATTCAAAAAAGGAGATAAGTATAGTATGACGAACTATAGGCCGATTTCATTATTATCTGCTTTCTCTAAGGTACTTTAGAAAGTCATGTATAGTAGGATAAATCAGCATATGCATTGTAACAACAGATTGGTCCCAGAGCAATACGGCTTTAGGAAAGGTATATCCACTGAAGATGCAGTCTTCAAGCTAACAGACAGTGTCTTAAAATCCATTAACCAAAAAAACCTGTGGGAGGAATTTTCTGTGATTTAGCGAAGGCTTTTGATTGCGTAAATCATTAATTTTGTTAAGTAAACTACAATTCTATGGCATTTGAGGAACAGTGTTAAAATGGTTCAAATCCTATCTAACAAATAGAAAACAAAAGGTTGAAATAAAATCGCCTAAACACAGTCAGAATTTCTTCTCAGACTGGAGAACAATAAAACATGGAGTTCCCCAAGGATCCATCCTGGGACCCTTGCTTTTCATAATATATATAAATGACCTTCCACCAATAATAAATATCTCATCAGAACCCATAATATTTGCTGATGATACAAGTGTCATAATTTCTAGTAACAATTTTGATGATTTCTGTGCAATGTCTAACAGAGCACTCTCTCACATGAATAAATGGTTCAATGCAAACAGACTTGCCCTAAATCTTGATAAAATGAAGGTAACGAAATTTACAATAAAAAATACTCCTCAGTATGTTTTAAATATTGGATATAATGGAAAATATATAGAAGAGTCAGTAAATATGAAATTCCTTGGCTTGCAAATTGATAGCCACCTAAGTTGGTCAGACCATATAGATAAGTTGATTCCTAAGCTAAGTGGAGTGTGCTATGTGGTTAGGTGTATGTCTCATGTCAGCAATACTGAGACTCTTAAATCAATTTATTTTGCCTATTTTCACTCTGTAATTAAGTATGGAATAATCTTTTGGGGCAACTCATCTTACAAAAGAAAATTGTTAGATTAATGGCTGGTGTTAAACCAAGAGACTTGTGTAAAAATCTTTTTAAGAGACTACAAATCCTAACTCTACCATGTGAATACATATTCTCCCTAATGATCTTCACTGCAAAAAACCAAGAATTCTTTCCAACTAATTGTACTATTCTCAGTGTCAACACAAGGAATAAAAATCAGCTTCATAGACCAATTGCCAGCCTCCAATGTTTCCAGAAGAGTGCATATTATGCTGGCATTAAAATCTTCAACAGCCTACCATAAAATATTACAGCTCTTATAGATAAACAGGCACAATTTAAAGCAGCGCTAAAGAGATACTTAATTACACACTCCTTTTACTCTGCTGAGGAATTTATGCTTTCGAATAACCCAAAGTGTATGTAATGTATGGATTTTATTGACACTTCACTACTTTTGTGAACCTTTTACTACTATTGTGACTTTGTTTTCATTGGTCAATTTTTTGCAATAGTTTGATTTGTTCGTGTATATGTATTGTATGATTTTTTGACTAATTCCACATCCTATGGTCTTTCTGACTAACACAAGGATCTATGGAATGCTATATATATGTTTGTATGTATCATATGACACCACAGAAGTCTCAGCTTACTGCCAGTACTGTTACTTAAAACATAAATAAATAAAACAATACACCATATTAAAGATGGAGATACATGGTTTTTTATAACCTAGCAGTAGAAGAAAATGACACAAGTACTAGACTGCTCATAATGTTCTCAACACTTTAATCAATGGCATTTCAAGTGATTTTCTTATAATGGTGTCACACCACTAGTAAGAAGGCAGACTACAGCATGCAGTATTAAAAATATCTGCTAAACTAAGCAAACTGAATTATTAAAATTTGATTGTGAAGATGTGTGCACTTTCTGCATGTAAATTACATTTTTACATTTTCTTGCAACTTTATTTTCTTTAACAACTCACAGTAATTCTCAGACTGAGGTTAGGAAGCTCATGTTTTCACACCAGCTTTTAAGAAAACTGAACTGGGGGAGAGGGGACAATAAAGAACTTAATGTGGAAACCAAAATGTCTGGATGTTTGAGATTACTTCAAGAATCATTCTCTGGCAGCAACACCAGATTACATAATAATACAGCCTATATATTTGCTCAACCTACAAATTTCATATTTCAGCATCCTGTTACAAACCTTTAATTAAACGTATATGTATCCACAGTCTGACAATAATGCAACAATTGTTTATTCACCATTTAACACTTATCACAACATGTTTCGGCCATAGTTGGCCATCTTCAGGTGTCTTAATGCATCCAAACTGTTACACTGCTCTGATGTGCGCTAAAACCATGCACTGCAGTTCACTTAAAAATAACATAAATAATTAATTAAATCCATTAAAATTTTCTATTAAAACTTTTTTTGTAAAATCCTATTCCACTTCATAAGGGGCATTGTCCACTTGTTTGGAGCTATGTGATTATTCCTGAAAGTTCGTTTCTGCAGCTTGCTTTTCTGTTTGTTAGCCTGTTGTTTTGCTATGTCTGCAATCTGTAATGTGCCCCCTTGCTTGTATGTTGTTCCCTCTAGCAGCGTGTGGCATTGTCTTCACTAGGCACTAGGCACATCAGAGCAGTGTAACAGTGTGGATGCATTAAGACACCTGAAGATAGCCATCTATGGCTGAAACATGTTGTGTTAAGTGTTAAATGATGAACAAACAATTGTTGCGTTATTGACGGACTGTCGATACGTAAGACGCTTAATCAACCTACAAAATTCACCATTCAAGTCTGACATATACATCAAGCATTTCCAAAGTGATTTAGTACTGAAAAGTAACTGAATTTGTATATTTGGGCCCTTGCCAAGAGTTTTAAAATCACCCTATACAAGAAGCATAATTGAAGTTGGGTTTAGACAAAGGTGATCACATGCAACTTGTAGCACATTACTGATTTGTGGCATACCATGACTGCTGCCCGTCAATATATGGTACTCTGTTGCTATTACTGTAGCATGTGACTATAATGTTTACACTGAAGCAACAAGTTTTCTGTGTTTGCAGTAATTGTATATATCCCACAAAATGCTACTCTCTCTCTTAATTTTCAGTTAAAAAAAAAAAAGCACTTCATCTGATCAATCCATAAATCACATCCCAATATACCCAACATAAATAAATAAACTGATGTATTAACAAATTTACCAGGATGAGATACTGGATGAGAACAGATAACAAACAACATTACATAATTATGATTTCACACTGTCAATCCATTTGTACAAGTATTCCCTGATGATCACTTGTTTGAGCAGTCAGAGCGAACATCACAGTAACTGTAGGATTATGTTTTACTATGTCTACCAAGCCTAGAGGAGATGAAGACTTGTATGCATTCAGTAATCAGCAATAGACAAAAACACATGTATTTTTATCTTTTGTAACATGTGACTTGGTATATTTCCACTTCAGTTGGAGAGGATGGCAACTGCAAGAAACTACAAATTACATAGTTCTCTTCCTTTGGTCTAAACCCACTTATGTCATAAAAAGAGGTTATATTTTTCTAGTTAGAAAAGTCAATTGTAACATTTCTTTCAACAAGCCTTAATCAAAACAAAAATCTGTATTCAATGTATAAACAGTCATATATAGTAATACCCCAGTGCCCCAGTGTTTCTATGGAAAACACACTGAAGAAAAACAATGTTCTTTGCAGTTACACACTACTTTGGCCACTGAGCAATGAAAAGGCATATGACATGATGTTCAAAGGGATAAAATGCCATCCTTAAATGTTGGAACATTTGGGAGATAATGTTCTTAATTTCAGTATTTGTTCACAGGATCACAACTAGAGTTACCTTTCCTCTACATAAACAATGCCTGCAAACCCGAAGCACATTTTATTTTAATTAAGAAGAGTAAAAAGTAAGCATAGAACAAAGAAGTTTTAAAGTTTTCTAAGAAACTGGTAGGACTATGGCCAAGAATTTGTCTCTTGTTATTTGTAATATAGGTAATCATTAAACTGTTGAGGTAAACCTATTTCTCTAAGAGTAACTATTTTTGTTTATTAACCACAAATTCTTCAAGCAAAAAGAAATAGGAAATTCAATTCTTTCTTTATATAAAAAACAAGCAGTTTTTTAAATTGTTTTCAATATGCATATGCATCATCAGAAAACATAAAAAGCAAACACAATATTACCATGTCACTTCTACCTCAAAATCTGACCAACAGTAGTAAATTTGAATTAAAACAAAAACATGCACCACATACTACATTCAGCATTAGTATATTTTATTATTACCACCACTTTCATATTTGGTTTTAATGTCACATACGAAAACGGCTGTAAAGGATGTTATGTATGTATGGAGGGATGGCTTCTTTCATTATTAGCAAGCATTCCATGCCTCCATGTAAGCTTTTGCATTAATGACCAGCATTAACAAAAGTTTATGAAAATTACACATCCTCTATTATAATTACTAAAGGAGGAAATAGAAAGCCAGTCAAATTCACAAAAAATTAATCTTTCTTTCAATATAAATCACAAAAGAACAATGAATATGAAAACAAGGTAATATGGTATAAAAATAACCTTGCTTTTCCAGGAAATCATATTTGTTCTTATATTTTCTCTGCTTGTTATTTTAGTGATGTGAGAATAGTTGGATTCCTCCATTATGTGTGGGGGGGATTTAAAATATTTCTGGTAGCTTCACAACATGAAATTATTCTAAAATGAAATAAAGCAATGAATTGAATTATATGACAAGTCCCTAATACAGAGTTTTGTAGAGATCAGCCATTCTAGTCTTTCTCTTCATCAGGATCATCAAGCATGGCTGAATTCCAAACAAAACAGTTCTGTTCTTAACAAATGATAAACAAAGGAAGTACTAATATTTCTCTTTATGAATGCATTATCAGAAGTATGAGTGTGCTAGAAATAGCAACACATTTATTACCCATAAAAAAATACACTAAACTGCAACACTCTTGATGGCATATCTTCTGATTATGAGTGTCCTCTGTAAAACAGACTAGCATGATACAGCAACTTTAAATTCTAAAAAGGGATTGTTGTCTTTTTATTAATGCTGATTATTAAATGCAAGAAATTAGTCATTCTTCTGCATACTCAAAACTTTAAAAGAGAAATTTACTTCTACCTTTTATATTCTTATAGCCTTAACTGTTTGAATGAGGTGAAGCCTGCTTTACAAACTGATCATACTTCAATCTGCTGGTTAAGAATGAAAAACAGAAGGTGACAGCTCATAACTGCCAGCACAATACTCAGTCTCTGGCTACAGCTGCTGGTAAAAAGTCTTCACAAGTTGTGTCAGGTTCATGACTTGCCCAACACCCTTTGTTGGATCCATATTGATGAACTCATCCAAATTATGGGTGCTTGCTGTAAAACATACCAAAATCATGTGATCTCTCTTGTGCATATCAAGTGCAAGGTATGATGACTTTGAGGTAAGGGAGGGCTGTGCCAATTAGTAATAAAAATGGTCTTCATACCCTTACAACAAAGTGTTCTTAGAAACTGATAGTCTAACTGCAAGTGCAAGCAGCCTCCGTAGTCTAGGGGTAACGTTCCCACCTCATGACTCAAGGTACGCGGGTTCAAACCCGGTGGAGGTCGTGGAATTTTTAAGGGCGGAAAAATTCAGGGAACAAGTCCTCCGGGAGGGACTTTAAGTCGTGTGTCCCGTGTCGTAGATTTACGGCACGTACAAGAACCTCATATCTCTAGGAGACCTCTGAGCTAAATTAGTCAACAATTTCCCGCCCAAGTAGTTTCCAATGCCTCTGGTAGATGGGGGAAGTATCAAGGTACCAAGGGCCGACCTCGTTGGCTCAACGGGGCTGATACCATGCACCAGTACTGGTAGGGTATGGAGACTGGTAGAATATCAAAGGGGTACATAACAATAGATCAACAACTGGTCCCGGTGCATGGGGAAACCCACCCCCTCCAATAATAATAATAAATAACTGCAAGTGCAGTTAATTTGCATACTTAAAATTAGCATAAATATATGCTGATATCACACAATAACTTGTGATAACATACACTGTTAAAACTGCAGATTTTGATATCAATTTTCCACATCACATAATCCAAGTAACACACTTCCCATTGCACCTTATTTACAAATAGTTCCCGTAAAAACGGGCAAACTTTATGTTCCTCTAATAATTCGTGATGGGCACTCCAACTGATGTGTGTCTGTCTCTATCTTTGAAGATAAAGAATAATCACAAAATGAGATTATGTTTATCAAGCAGATTCTAAAGGGCCCTTTGTGACATTTTGTAACAAGCTTATTTTTTAGTGAGGAGTTGTCAGCCCCATGCCCAACCCCAAAGCTGAGGGAGCATCCCTTGTCGGTTGTCCACAACTGCTTATTCAATATATTCACAGTTACCCATATCTGAAAGACAAAAGTAATGAGTTTGCAATGAACAGTAAGAACAAGAACATTAGAGACCTGTATAGAGGACTAAATTAATTTAACAGGGGATACCAACCTAGAAGCAACTAAGTGAAGGATGAGAATGGTGATCTGCTTGCAGATTCCCACAACATTTTGAAGAGGTGGAAGAACTACTTCTCTCAGTTACTGAATGTACATAGGGTCAGTGTTATTAGGCAGATAGAAATACATAGAGTTGAGCCATTAGTACCCGATCCTACTTCTTTTGAGACTTAAACTACTACTGCAGAAATCAAATAGGTTATACATCACCTGGCAGCGATCAAATTCCGGTAAAACTGATTCAAGCAGTAAGTCAAACATTAGTCTGAGATCCATCAGCTAATTAATTCTATCTGGAATAAGGAAAAACTGTCTTATCAATGGAAGGAGTCTATTACTGTACCAATTCACATGAAGGGCGATAAAACTGACTGCAGTTATTACATCCATTGATATTTCATAGAATCATACCTGACAGCAGCTTGTTATTGTCTTGTAATGTTGAAGTGTTTCAATCCATTGTGCAATCTGCAGCAGAAGCATTCACATGCCTGAACAAACAATGCTTTCATTGAAGAAAGCAGTATTCTGGGATTTGGCACCGTGTATAGGTGGTGTTAACCACGTTTCGGAGGAACGTATCGCCTCCATCTTCAGGGTAGAAGGAAAAATATAAGAAATCCGCAAGCGAAGAGACCGTGAGAACCGGGAAAAGCAGACTGGTGTTGGAAATATACACAGCTATGTGAGAGCAGTGAAGGAAGGGGGGAAGGGCAAGTATACAAGTGAAATCAGTAGTGTGTGAGGGAGGGGGGAGCTGGGACAAGCAGGGTTTTGTGTT